TGAAAGTTTGTTTTCCTAAGGATTCATGTTCCATTCTTCTTTTCTGTTTCACAGTGCCTTTGCTCAGTATAACATGGATCAGTTCGCTCCTGTCAAACTCGACGGTAGTGAGGAGTCGGTAAGTTAACGTTTTTAAGTCTCACAGATGCAGTAATTTCAGTCGGTTTTGAAAATGTGCGTGTACGTTTAGTTCCTGTGCTGCCATGATACTCTGTGTTAGTTTTGAACAGAGAGCACACTATTGTCACATTATTTATTTAAGCTGGGTGTAAACTCTGCTCTCTGTAGATCTTTGTGTACTTTGTTAGTGATTAGGGCAGGTGTGAGCATTGGACTGTGAGTGTTTGCTGCTGCGTTAGGAGAACTGCAGATCTGTGTGTGATTAGTTTTGCCTAAAGAGGAAGGGACATCCTGTTCCTGCAGGTTCTGATCACTGAGCATGGAGATCTGGGTCAGGGACGGTTCTTTGACCCACGGAAGCAGGTGTCATTCCGTTTCGATCACCTGCGAAAGGAAGCGAGCGATCCTCAGTCCTACGAGGGAGAGACTGCCCTCCGGTCCTGGAGGGACGCCTGTGATGAAGCGCTCAGTGCTTACGTGAAAGAGCACTATCCCACTGGAGTCTGCACGGTACACAGTTTTCCTATGGGAATCTCAACAGAAAAATATGAATTTCATACATTTCTCTTACTGTTAGCACTTGCTGCATTTACATTTATGATTGCAGCCATTGTTTGTGAAGTCATGTGCACTGATGTTTGTGCCGCAGGTGTATGGGAAGACTGTTGACGGACAGCAAACAATTATTGCTTGTATTGAGGGTCATCAGTTCCAGCCCAAAAACTTTTGGTGAGTAATGCTTTATCTCCTTATATCCAGCTCTCTGGAATACTTGTATAATGTTGCTAAACTATATAATTGACCCTTTGTCCCAGGCAACTGATTTCCTACATAACTTAACCATTTTCAGGATCATTTAAATCAGCATTTCTGGTACATTTATGCTTTTACATAGCTGTTCAAACATTTGGAATTTGTTTTAAATGTAATGTAAAATTTTTTTTTTTTTAAGTTAAAGTTAAATGTTTTGAAAAGTCTCGTATGCTCCCCAAGGCTGCATTTAGTTGATCAAAATACAGTAATATTTTACATATTATTACAATTAATTATTATTTACAATTTAATTACAAATATTTGTAACTGTTTTCTACTGAATTTGAACACATTTTTAAATGTAATTGTTCCTGTGATGGCAAATCTGAATTTTCAGCAACCATTATTTCAGTCTTCAGTGTCACATTTAATATTTTCAGTGCTATTTAATATTTTGATGAAAATGTCATTTTTTTTCAGGATTCTTTGATTAGAATTCAAAAGAACAGTATTTGTGTGTAATAGAAGTTATTTTATAATCTTTACAACAAAAGTCTTTACTGCTTGTTAAAAGTATTAATTTCTTTCATTTTTTTTTCTAAATATCTAACTTACTGACCCTGAGTCTTTAAATGGTAATGTATTTGTAAAATAACAGGCATTATGTACAGCCATCTGTCATTTTTGGACCCCTTAAAGGTGATTAAAAACTGATTCACTCTTGTCACGTTTTGTTTTGCAATCATAATCAGCTGACTGTACATCACGTATCAAATTAGATCTACATTTTTGCCATGAGTTCTTTAATGTGGTTAGTCTGAAATCTTTGTGTGAGTCTCTACAGTCTACATTATAATTGTCAGATTTAATGTTTGGAGTCTGATTCTGTAGTAAGACTAAATCTGGTTGTAAGCTGAATCTCCGATGATTCTCTCTTGTCAGGAATGGCCGGTGCAGGTCAGAGTGGAAGTTCACCATTAGTCAGTCATCAGCTCAGGTGGTGGGAGTATTGAAGATCCAGGTGAGACCTCACCTAACAGATTAGCATAGTGGAGATGAGAAACAAATTGTGATTGTAAAGTGTTACATAATTTGTCTTCCTACAGGTACATTATTATGAGGACGGTAATGTACAACTGGTGAGCCATAAAGAGGTGGAGGAGTCCATTGTAGTGACTGTGAGTAAAAAAGAGATATATTCACATAAGCATTAACCAAAGCAAAGATTTCAACAAAGTAAATTCCTGCCCTTTTCTCTCTAGAATGAAACCCAGACTGCCAAGGAGTTTGTAAAAATCATTGAAAATGCTGAAAATGATTACCAGGTAGAAATTTGACGTCTAAATTTTAATTAAGATGAATAATAAATATTTCATATGATTGGTGCATCCCTAATTTTAATGATCAGAATTCCGTTTAACATTTGCGCTGTTTAAATGTTTCCCTCCAGACGGCCATCAGTGAGAACTACCAGACAATGTCAGACACCACCTTCAAAGCTCTCCGCAGACAGCTGCCCGTCACTCGCACCAAGATCGACTGGAACAAGATCCTCAGCTACAAGATCGGCAAAGAGATGCAAAACGCTTAGAAACCGACCCGGTTCCTCTTCCTTCTGTTCAAGTGCGGAGCCGGCGCTCAGAACACCACATGCCGTTGGCTCAGCATGAAGAAGTCTCCCAAAAATGAAAATAAAAAAAAAAAAGTCAAAAAAACTTTTTCTGTTTAAAAGAGGATGTGATTCCATTCAAACGTCTGTCATTAATAGACTTGGATGGGTCTCAGCTGTGGATTAGGTTCAAATGAGAACTTGAAGGGAATCGTGGATCTAAATTATCGGCAATTGTCGCTTTTCTCTCATTTACCCGCTCGCAAGTCACTCGAAGAGAAGGAGTGTTTAATCAGGGTTAGAGCTAACCTCTGCAGGTAGGTGACCCTCCAAAATCAGAGTTAGACAACCTTGGAGAAAAAGAACAAGGTACTATAGAACAGAGGTAACCACCTGTTTCTAGAGAGCTACCTTCATGCAGAGCTCAGTTCCAACACAACATGCCTTTAATCTTCAAGTAATCCTAAACACCTTGGCTAGCTGGTTCAGGGTTGTTTGATTAAAGTTAGAGCAAAATTCTGCAGAAAGGTAGTTCTCCAGAAGAAGGGTTGGCTACCCTTTCAGACCAGTGGTTTTCAGTCCTGGAGTATTGTATCACTGCACATTCTGGATGTCTTTCTTTACCACATTAGCTCATTTGTAAAGGTTCCAAGACCTGAACTGTTTCAGATAAGGAAACTTACAAAACCAGGTACTTAGAAGGATTGTTCTCCCAAGAATGAAAATTTTGTCTGCATTAACTCACCCTCATGTTGTTCCAAACATTGGATGATTACTTTGAGTAATCATCAAAACCCAAATTAAGATGCTTTTCAGTGAGTTTTCTGTCCCTCCAGGAAAGCAAAAAGATCCAAAAAAGATCATAAAGGCATGAGGGTGAGTAAATAATGACAGAATTTTCATTTTTTGGATGAACTATCCATATAAAAGGATAGTTCACCCAAAAATGAAAATTCTGTCATTAATTACTCACCCACATGTCGTTCCAAACCTGTAAGACCTTCGTTCATCTTCGAAACACAAATTAAGATGTTTTTGATGGAATCTGAGAGCTCTCTGACCCTCCATAGATAGCAAGGATATTACCACGATGAACGCACAGAAACGTAGCAAGGACATCGATAAATAATCCATGTGACATCAGGGGTTCAACCTTAATTTTACAAAGCTACGAGAATAATTTTTGTGCGCAAAGAAAACCATAATAACATAATTTATTCAGCAATTCTTCTCCCCGAGTTACCGTCTTCCACCATTTTGGAGAGTACCCCAGAACATAAATAAACAACACTGATTACGTTCAGGGAAAGCACGTGCATGCTGAACGTAAACAACGCTCATTCCGTTGATTACGTTCTGGGGTACTCTCCAAAATGGCGGAAGACGGTAACTTGGGGAGAAGAATTGCTGAATAAATTATGTTATTATTGTTTTCTTTGCGCACAAAAAGTATTCTCGTAGCTTCGTAAAATTACGGTTGAACCCCTGATGTCACATGTACTATTTTACCGATGTCCTTACTGCCTTTCTGGGCCTTGAACATTTCAGTTGTGTTGCTGTCTGTGGAGGGCCAGAAAGATCTCTGATTTCATCAAAAATATCTTAATTTGTGTTCTGAAGATGAAAAAAGGTCTTACGGTTTGAGTAATTAATGACAGAATTTTCATTTTTTATAGAATGATTTATAACAATGTAAGGCTGTTTAAATACTATGTAGTGTGTAACTACTAATGTAGTTTTGTGGCTGTTTGTCTCTTTCATCTAGAGTCAGTGGAGATCAAACTGTTCAGATCCATCATGGATGAAAGGCAAACATCTGAAGATGAAGACTTTTTTACAGTATGCAGGCTCACCCACATGTCGTTCCAAACCTGTAAGACCTTCGTTCATCTTCGAAACACAAATTAAGATGTTTTTGATGGAATCTGAGAGCTCTCTGACCCTCCATAGATAGCAAGGATATTACCACGATGAACGCACAGAAACGTAGCAAGGACATCGATAAATAATCCATGTGACATCAGGGGTTCAACCTTAATTTTACAAAGCTACGAGAATAATTTTTGTGCGCAAAGAAAACCATAATAACATAATTTATTCAGCAATTCTTCTCCCCGAGTTACCGTCTTCCACCATTTTGGAGAGTACCCCAGAACATAAATAAACAACACTGATTACGTTCAGGGAAAGCACGTGCATGCTGAACGTAAACAACGCTCATTCCGTTGATTACGTTCTGGGGTACTCTCCAAAATGGCGGAAGACGGTAACTTGGGGAGAAGAATTGCTGAATAAATTATGTTATTATTGTTTTCTTTGCGCACAAAAAGTATTCTCGTAGCTTCGTAAAATTACGGTTGAACCCCTGATGTCACATGTACTATTTTACAGATGCTACGTTTCTGTGTGTTGATCGTGGTAATATTATTGCTGTCTATGGAGGGTCAGAGAGCTCTCAGATTCCATCAAAAATATCTTAACTTGTATTCCGATTATAAATGAAGGTCTTAGGGTTTGGAACGACATGAGGGTGAGTAATTATTCATTTTTGGGTGAACTATCCTTTTAAGGACAAGAATTGACAAGTATGACATGACAATAAGGGTGAAAATAAAAGAAGGAAACCTTGAGGTTCTCAAGAGTGCTTTAGATGCCACTGGATGGAATGGAGTGGAGAAGGCGTGAACTCCAGGCTGGTTAACTAGATGACGACATGACCAAGTCAAGCTCTTTTGCATCTTCCTGACCCCTGGTGAGACCACAGCTCCCAGAGAGTTCGGGGAAGTGGCTGGCTCTGCCAGAAGGTACCGGTGAGCCGGGAGACTGGTTGACCCCCTGCTTTTTAGGAGGAACAGGGGGTGGATGAATCTTCTCCGCCCTAGGAATTATTGGTGAGCGGATCCCTGGTGAAAGAACCCCTGGGCTCTTCCCTGTCGGCAAGGAGGCTGCGGCCAGGTTGCGGTAATCAGTGCCAAAGGGCGAGCTGTTGGACGGAGGGAGTTTACTTGTTGCTTGTTGGCTCGTGAACCGTGACAGCACCTGAGTGACAGTGTTGCGGGCAATCTGCTTTGCAGTAGAATTGTCTGGAGTAGTAGGAGCAGCCGCAGTAGGAGAGAGGTCTCGAGGTGAGTGGACAACGGATGCTCCGTGTTGCTGCTCTGATTCAGCTTGCTGCTGAAATTTGTGGCGTGCTGCTTGGAATCGCTGGTTGATGCTGGCCTGGTAAGAGGATGGATAGGTCGGACTAGAGCAGCCTATAGAGGCCAGACGCTTGGTCAGTACTGGGGAAGAGCAAGGAGATGAGCTAAGGGAGGACGAGGCAGGGCTGCTTGGGGAGAGACACCGCGAGGCTCCACTTCCTCCAGGGAGTACTACCTCATTGTCCACCGATCCCACTTCCTTGCACCTCTCGTCTGCTGGAGACTCTGGTTCTCTGGGAGTGTGGTGGCCATTTAGCTTGGGTTGCGGAGATGATTTAGATGCAATGGCTTTGCCATCGACTTCTGTTTGACTAAGAGGAGGCATGATCCCTGTGGTTTTTACATTTTCTTCATTGTCTATTTTACCGATGCTACGTTTCTGTGTGTTGATCGTGGTAATATTATTGCTGTCTATGGAGGGTCAGAGAGCTCTCAGATTCCATCAAAAATATCTTAACTTGTATTCCGATTATAAATGAAGGTCTTAGGGTTTGGAACGACATGAGGGTGAGTAATTATTCATTTTTGGGTGAACTATCCTTTTAAGGACAAGAATTGACAAGTATGACATGACAATAAGGGTGAAAATAAAAGAAGGAAACCTTGAGGTTCTCAAGAGTGCTTTAGATGCCACTGGATGGAATGGAGTGGAGAAGGCGTGAACTCCAGGCTGGTTAACTAGATGACGACATGACCAAGTCAAGCTCTTTTGCATCTTCCTGACCCCTGGTGAGACCACAGCTCCCAGAGAGTTCGGGGAAGTGGCTGGCTCTGCCAGAAGGTACCGGTGAGCCGGGAGACTGGTTGACCCCCTGCTTTTTAGGAGGAACAGGGGGTGGATGAATCTTCTCCGCCCTAGGAATTATTGGTGAGCGGATCCCTGGTGAAAGAACCCCTGGGCTCTTCCCTGTCGGCGAGGAGGCTGCGGCCAGGTTGCGGTAATCAGTGCCAAAGGGCGAGCTGTTGGACGGAGGGAGTTTACTTGTTGCTTGTTGGCTCGTGAACCGTGACAGCACCTGAGTGACAGTGTTGCGGGCAATCTGCTTTGCAGTAGAATTGTCTGGAGTAGTAGGAGCAGCCGCAGTAGGAGAGAGGTCTCGAGGTGAGTGGACAACGGATGCTCCGTGTTGCTGCTCTGATTCAGCTTGCTGCTGAAATTTGTGGCGTGCTGCTTGGAATCGCTGGTTGATGCTGGCCTGGTAAGAGGATGGATAGGTCGGACTAGAGCAGCCTATAGAGGCCAGACGCTTGGTCAGTACTGGGGAAGAGCAAGGAGATGAGCTAAGGGAGGACGAGGCAGGGCTGCTTGGGGAGAGACACCGCGAGGCTCCACTTCCTCCAGGGAGTACTACCTCATTGTCCACCGATCCCACTTCCTTGCACCTCTCGTCTGCTGGAGACTCTGGTTCTCTGGGAGTGTGGTGGCCATTTAGCTTGGGTTGCGGAGATGATTTAGATGCAATGGCTTTGCCATCGACTTCTGTTTGACTAAGAGGAGGCATGATCCCTGTGGTTTTTACATTTTCTTCATTGTCCTTTTCCAGTCCTGCCGTTTCTCTTGCTTTCATTTCATCCAACTCTTTTTTTAGGCTATTGAACTTCTCCAAAAGCTCCTGATATCGTTTTTCTTCCTTCAATAGTTTCCCTCTCATCTGCTCACGCACTGTATCCAATTCGGCCAGCTTTCTCTCAGCTCTCGCCTCTATCTGCTGAGCATGAGTGCGTTCGCTCTCCAGCTCCCCCTTTAGGGTTTTGATGGTACTGCTCTCCTGTTGCAGCTGGCGGCTGAGCTCTGCAACCCGCTGGCTCTCCTCCTCTGCCCGTGCTGTAGCCTTCTGACATTCTTTCGCCAGGGTTGAGGATAACTGCTGCTGCTGCGCTAAATCCTCCTCAGCTTGATTCGACAGGACTGACTGCTCACGTTCTAAACGTTCGACTTGAGCCCTCTCAAACTCCAGCTGTGAAGAAGAAAAGCAAGAGACGTCACTTTAAAAATTAAACGCATTATATAGACATAAGACTTCAGACAACATCGAAGATGAATTCTACAATTGTTCTTGAAAATATCTTGTTTACTTGCTTCTTCCTGCCTCAAACAATACTTATGAATATCTTTAAGACTTCAGAACCCTATGAGCTACAGAATGTGTGAGAGCCATGGTCAAGCATCCAAAAAAAATAAGTGTGTGAGTGTGTGTGTGCGCGTTTTTGTGACAAATGAGGACAT